AGTTATAGCCAATTCTTATCTTTCTTGACTAATTTCACTTAGATCGCATGGTATTCTTATTCTGTTATGATTTATAACTTATAAAATCTTTAACATTTCTTTTTATCATGGGGGTGGGGGTTCCAACATGACTTGTCATTATGACTGTCATGTTGTAAACCACAGTCATTGAATGCGCGAGTATCTACACACTTTTCTTCATTTGAAAAAATCATATTTACAATTTTTGTTTATTTTAATTTACAAAGTTTGGATGTGACAGCTTCACATTTCTGAGAGCATCGGCGGGTGATTGAACTTGTTTCCATGGCTACCTAAGTCAAATTGTTTAAAAATGATAAGAATTGGCTATAACTCAGTAATTTTTTGAAGAAAAGATATTATAGCTTATATCACTAAAAAGCTTAAAAAATGGCGCTTTTTATGAAGTCATGGCCAACTATAGTTTCCATTTAAAAAAACTATGTTCGTGTCATATGTCAAAAACGACAGGCTTTAAAAAAAACGGAGGACACAATCTCATTAAGGATGTAATTATCTACAACTTTTATCTGACAACTTTTTGTCTAAAATAGGTTATAATGGAATTAGGGACAATTTTTAAAATAGCCGAAATTTGTTTTTTTCGAAATATCTAGTAAGCCATGAACTTTTTCAAAAATCTGAAAGGCGTATATTTATGATCTCACAAAACTGCAATTCTTTCCCCATTTAACCGACTCTCTATCTCCAGTAGTTTCCGAGATACCCATAAAGAACATCGTAGGAAACTCACCCTGTATATGCGATAATTGTTTTGAGTAGTGTATTTACACGAAAAATAAATGATAAAAAAACAGCCTCAACGATAGTTTCGAAATTTAGATTCCTGTCATTTTATGTGTAAAATTATATGGGGCATAAAAACATCAAATTACTGAGTCTAGCCTACATTACATTATTATAAAACACGCATATAGTTTTCTATAAAATTAAAACGGCGCTGGTAAACCAGAATTTAAATCCATATTAATCCCCCAACACGCTCCACAAATTTCTTTCAAATGCTTCTTTCTTATTTTTTTTATTCAAAGTAGGTAAAAAATCTCTTCAATATTCAAAATCTAATATACATATGACATATGGTAAAGTCAATTGTCTGACCTAGAAAATAGAAATATTTTAGAAAAATATATGAATCTGTCCATATAAAACCCGCCAATTAGGTCTTCGTTTTTTTGGTGTTAATATTCTGCATTAAATTATATACCATTACTATACAGGGTGAGTTTCCTACGATGTTCTCTATGGGTATCTTGGAAACTACTGGAGATAGAGAGTCAGTTAAATGGGGAAAGAATTGCAGTTTTGTGGGGTCATAAATATGCGCCTTTCAGATTTTCGAAAAAGTTCATGGCTTACTAGATATTTCGAAAAAAAAACAAATTTTGGCTATTTTAAAAATTGTCCCTAATTCCATTATAATCTATTTTAGACAAAAAGTTTTCAGATAAAAGTTGTAGATAATCACATCCCTAATGAGATTGTTCTCCCATTTTTCTAAAGCCTGTCATTGTTGACATATGACACAAAGATATGTTTTTTAATGGAACATAGTTGGCCATGACTTCATAAAAAGCGCCGTTTTTTAAGCTTTTCAACGATATAAGCTATAATATGTTTCTTTCACAAAATTACTGAGTTATAACCAATTCTTATCTTTCTTGACTAATTTCACTTAGTTAGCCATGGAAACAAGTTCAATCGTTGTTGCTCTCAGAAATGTGAAATTGTCACATCCAATCTATGTAAATTAACATAAACAAAAATTGTAAATAAGAGTTTCTTAAATGATGAACAGTGTGTAGAATTATTGGTTCAACTTTTCTTAGCCACACAGTTTCGAGGATACGTTGACCGGCGAACGTTACGTTTTTTAGAAAACGGTTTTCAAAACATGTTAGAAAAGTTAAATTTAGATACTCGCGCATTAATACAGTGGTTCCAACATGACTTATGTTGGAACTCTCTTACATGACTTCATTATGACGCACCAACCCCCCCCACAATGAAAGAAATGTTATTTAAAAAATTATTTACATCATAATTATGTAGACTCAGGGAGGTGGACCAATTGCATGGGTCTCCTCGGTCACCTGACCTATCCATTTTAGATTTTTTTATGCGGTATGGTTAACAGCAAGTTTTACAAAAATACTTATGAATTAAGAGAGGCACTCGAAAAGGCGGAACAGGAGAAGTTTAATTAAGTCAACCGGTCGTTCTGTGACAATAGCTAGAAATTCAGTTTTAAAAAGATGCATTTATGTACTCAAAATAATTGCGGATTTTTTGAACATTTTCTAAAATAACTTAAAGTGTACGTAGTGATATTATTTTTTTGAGCTTTAGTTTGTGTAATCTAAATTGTAAAGAACCGTTTAATAACATATTTTGTCTTTTTATAAGTTATAAATCACAACAAAATTTGAACATCATTGAAAACCGTTCTCTAAAAAACGTAAGTAACTTTCACCGGTCAAAGTACCCTGTATGGCCAAGAAAAGTTGAACCAATAATCCTACACGCTTTTCTTCATTTGAAAAATTTTTATTTACAATTTTTATTTATTTTAATTTACAAAGTTTGGATTTCACATTTCTGAGAGCAACGACGATTGAACTTGTTTCCATGGCTAACTAAGTGAAATTAGTCAAGAAAGATAAGAATTGGCTATAACTCAGTAATTTTGCGAAAGAAACATATTATAGCTTATATTGCTGAAAAGCTTAAAAAATGGCGCTTTTTATGAAGCCATAGCCAACTATGGTTTCTATTTAAAAAAACGTATGTTTGTGTCATATGTCAAAAATGACAGGTTTTATAAAAAATCGGAGGACACAAACTCATTAGGAATGTGATTATGTACAACTTTTATCTGAACACTTTTTGTCTAAAATAGATTGTAATGGAATTAGGGACAATTTTTGGACACGAAATATCTAGTAAGCCATGAACTTTTTCAAAAATCTGAAAGGCGCATATTTATGACCCCACAAAACTGCAATTCTTTCCCCATTTAAACGACTCTCTATCTCCAGTAGTTTCCGAGATGCCCATAGAGAACATCGTAGGAAACTCACCCTGTATATACCTATAGTATGAGTCAATAGTAAAATAACAACAACAAACTGAAGTTCAATAGATAATAGCAATAAGACTAAATTAAATTAAAACTAAATTTTAGAAAAGAATGGGTCAAAAATTATAGCTATTTATGGTACTAGTGTATAAAAAAAATATAGTCTATAAAATGAATAACTTTGAATTTTGACCGTTATTTTTTACCAACATGGCAAATATAAAAGCCCTCTATCCGAAAAGTTACTGATATTCTTTAAAATGAGTGCCTGATCGAATCAGATAGGTAACTCTTTTTACTTTCGTAAAATAGAAAAGGAAAATAATAAAACAGGTGACAGTTCTTCCTCTTCTTGCAAAAATCAACGCAAAATGTCATAATTGACAAAAGAAAATGTCATCAGCCTTTGACATTTCTAAATATCAGACCAATGCCGTCTCTAATAGAACAGCCTCGGAGCGAGATTTATGACGTCACGCTAGTTAGATACCACGGATTAATAAATATGTTGTAGAATACACGGAAAACATAATTATTCCTCGTACTTTTGGTTTGTATTTTAAAAATGACATAGTTTACATGAAATATACATAATATACAGTTAATAAATACAATATATATACCTATTTATAGTAATAAATACTTTAAAAAATAAAACTATGAACCATACAAATGCCATCAAATGTTTTACAATATACAAATAATGAATAGGTATAAGATAATGGGTAATATGTAAAATATATTTTAAATTTTGGTTTTTGAAAATCGATCTAATTTAACAAAAAATATTCAATGTCTACTAATAGTGATGTATTATTATTTGCATTCACAAAATTTATATGTATATTTTGCAAGTATCAATGTTCGAAAAATTATATTTGCAAATAATACAATATCATAGAAAAAAAGGCGTCAGCGAAGGCTATGAAATAAAGAAAGCTGTCATTTTATATGTAAAATTATTCTAAAATTTTTTGTTATAGCTAACGTTTATAGCCTTCATCAGTGTTATGTCATATGAAAAACATAATGTCGAATATAATCCTAAAAATTAGATATACGAGGAATAATTATGTTTTCCATCATTCTACAACATAATTAATCCGTAGTATCTAACTAGCGTGACGTCATAAATCTCGCTCCGGGGCTGTTCTATTAGAGACGGCATCAGCATGGCCGCAAGTTGCTAACCTAATAAAATTAACACTAGAAAAGCCCGCGGGAACTGTCAAATTCAAAGTTATTCGTTTCACAGACTATACATATAAGTCACGCCGGGAAATGTTTAGCCCTCGAGATCCTACGCCTAATTTTCTCAAGTGACTTACATGTTATAACACGCGAGTGCCTTAAACATTTTTATCAAACAGCAGAAATCTTTCATCTCCAATCTCTAAAGAATAATTGATTTAAAAGGATCTACCAGTTCTACTTTCATTTTTGCGAATTAATAAATTATCAGAGTGCGTTCATACATGTTACTATGCAATATAGATGTACATTTTGTTTTTTTGTAAATAATAAATAGCACTGACATTAAGACGTCATTTAGATAAATCGTGATTTTTTAACGATAAAATAGTGAATTATCAACCAGCAAGCCAAATTTTAAAGAAAAATGATTCAGGAAGATCTTCCGCAAGAAATTATTAACCAGGCAGAGGCGGCTACAGCACAAATACTGCCAGAAAAGTTCGGGGCGTATATGATATCGAATTCATAACACATTAGTTTGTTATAACTTCAAAAACTCACGCGTGTGTTATATTATTTATTTTATATGCATGTATACATGTGAGTAATGTCTGTATAAGTAGTGGCTGTTGGCTAAAATAAATTATTCTAGATATTAGAATATACTGAATATCGTTTTACTTACCCATTTAGTAACATTTCCCCTCGGTTTTTAATCCAATAATTTATAGTATTTGGAAAAGCTTCAACGTAGCACTCGAGTTGTACGTCTGTATTAAGGGGTGCTCCAAGAAGTTGATTTGGCACTTTAATCATGGGAGCAACTAAACAATTAGGAAATATATATTATGTTACTTCAATAATTTACTCTTGTAGAGCTAATTATAATAGTCCAGTTAGTTAGAACCCGAAAAGACCAAAGTTCGACGTAATTCGTCGATCTTGACTTTTTAGCCGTATTGTGTACCACTTGGGGAGTAGTTTTAGGGGGGAAATTGTCACACCGTGCTCAGCCAGCTTTGGCCAAAAAAATGGCCCCAAATGATCTAAAAATCAATTTTTCGGAAATATTTGGCAAAATATGCAATTCGCAAAATTGTTCTTGGAGGTGCCGTGCAGATTCCTGCGTAGGTGTTCATATTTTTCTTTCTCATCCAGATGATACTATTCATTGCAGCGACTTGGAGTCATTATCTACAAAAAAAAGCTTACACTTTTTTTCGTAGTCTCAGAAAAAAAAGTTTAAAACGGCCCTAAAAGTCAAAAAACCGGTTTTCCGTCAATATTGGCCGAAATATGGCATGTAGATGATTTTCATGATCGCCAAATGGACCATTGGGTCTAAAAAAATGATCCTGACACTTTTTTTCGTAAAGTTGTTCGTAAAAAAAAACCAATTCGACTATTCGTAATTATGCAATTTTTTTTTTGTTTACGACACCTTCCCGAAATCCCCAAAAAGTAGGAAAAGCCACTCACGAATAGTTGTTCTTTATTAAAACGTAATTAAACAAACACTTCAAACTTTCTGACTTGCTTAAAAAGACTCTAAGACCAACGAGGAGCAAGGAAGGTGCCTCCACGCGTGCATTTTACAATATGTTAAACAAAGAAAACTAAAATGCCGGCGCTCCTCGGAAACGTTGTCCAAGTGGATAACGGTAAAACCTTCCACCACCGGAAACCAATGCAATCAAAAGCCAAAAACAAAAACTGGCCCTTTTCAGAGCCAACTTTGCCGATCGTTAGCCTGAACATTGAGGGAATCACCAAGAATAAAGGAGATATAATATCGCAACTATGCCAATCAGAAAAGTGGGACGTACTATGCCTGCAGGAAATGCATAGAGATGAAACAGCAAACAGACCCAATATTAAAGGAATCCGTCTGGCTATAGAAGCACCTCACAGAAGGTACGGGAGCGCAATATTTACCAGACATGCTGCTCTCATCCACGAGTAAGAAAATAACCCACGACATTGAAGTGTTAACTATCGAGAGCGGATCATTCATAATAATCTCCGTATATAAACCCCCTGGCCAAAACCTAGACCTTTCAATGCCAGGAAACTTTAACAACCAGAACACTCAATTTGTCGTGGGCGATTTTAACTGTCACAGCACCACCTGGGGATATGGCGAAACTCCAATGGTCAATTGCTAGAGCAATGGGCTGAGGCTACCAGCCTCTCACTTCTCCACGATCCCAAGCTCCCTTGCTCTTTCAACAGCAAAATTTGGAAGCGAGGTTATAACCGCGATAATTGCTTTGTCAGTAGGAACATCCCATGACACCTGCTGCAAAAATGTACGCAATGCAATTCCAAAGACACAACACCGACCTATCGGAATCCAAGTCTACTCTACAATCAAAACAACCAAAATACCTTTCGGTACGAGATTCAACTTTAAAAAAGCGAGGTGGCCAGAATACTCCCAAGTACTGAATGAGGAAATAGCCAATTTGGCCCCAACACCAAGCAACTACCACATCTTTGTTGAGTCCCTGCGAAAGATATCCAGACGATATATTCCTAGGGGCTGCAGACAACATTACATTCCAGGGCTCTCGAATGCCTCAAAGGACACCCTGGAGCGGTACGAACAATTGTTTGCGGAAGATCCATTCAGCGATCAAACCACACCTGCGGAACAGCTTTAATGACAGCTCTCAGCGAGGCATATGAGAAGAAATGGATAGAAACCCTAGATAGAATGGACATGTCTCATAGTAGTAAAATAGCTTGGAATCTAATCAAGAAACTGGATGGTGACCCAAAACTAAGCAAGGCCCCTGCCAATATAACACCCAATCAAGTGGCCAACCAACTCCTTCTAAATGGCAAATTCAACTCTAAACACCAGAAAACCAAAATCAAACGCCTAATACCAACTGAAAACACCAACTTTTAGAAATCATTTACCATGAAAGAGTTGAACAATGGCATAAATACCATGAAGAATGGAAAAGCCGCTGGGATTGACGATATGTACGTGGAACAAATAAAAAATTTCGGTCCTGGAACAAAAGAATGGATACTTAAACTTTTCAACGTATGTCGCGAAACCTTTCAAATTCCAAAACTGTGGCGGAAGTCAAAAGCTTTCCTTAAACCCGAAAAAATCCAGAGTCTCCGAAAAGCTACCGACCCATATCCCTCCTTTGCCATCTGTTTAAGCTCTACGAAAGACTAATCCTCTACAGAATAGAGAAGACCGTCGATTCAAAGCTGATTCCACAACAGGCAGGATTCAGACCTGGAAAGCACCAGTCAAATCCTCGCATTGACAGAACATATCGAGGAGGGTTTTGAGAATAAACACATCACAGGGCTGGCCCTAGTCGGCCTAAGTTCCGCCTATGACACGGTAAACCACAAGATATTACTGCATAAAGCCAATGAGACCTTGAAAGATTACCACCTAGTCAAGATACTCGAATCCTTGCTCTAAAACGCAGTTTTTCGTGACGCTCGAGGGCAAAAAGAGTCGATGGCGAAACCAGAAGAATGGGTTGGCACAAGGGAGCGTGCTGGCACCAATTCTTTTCAACATATATACAAATGACCAACCTATTCCAGATAACACTAGAACCTTTGCATATGCAGATGAGCTAGCAATAACAGTTGAAGGCAAAGGGTTCGAAGATATCGAGGAGAAACTAGAGAGCGCCCTAAAAACAATGTCAACCTATTACAAAAAGAATTCTTTAAAACCTAACCCCACCAAAACTAAAGTGAGTGCATTCCACCTTAATTCGAGACAGCAGACTTAATGTTACATGGGACGGGACACTACTAGAACACACAGATAAGCCTACCTATCTTGGCGTCGTGCTGGACAGAACATTGATCTACAAATATCGCTGCGAAAAAAACACGCAAAAAAAGTAGAAGCAAGAAATTCCCTTATAAGGAAGCTGACCAATAGTAAATGGGGAGCCAAACCTATCGTGGTCAGAACTTCTGCTCAAGCTCTGTGTTTTTCAACTGCAGAATATGCCTGCCCAGTGTGGTGTAGATCTGTCCATGCAAAAAAGGTGAACATCAGTCTGAATGAAACATGCAGAATAGTGACAGGTTGTATGAAACCCGCCCCCTTAGGAAACCTTTACAAGGCCGCAGGTTTTACAAGCCCCGATTTACGCAGAAAAGCTCATGAACATACTGAGAAGTTAAAAAAAACCTTTGATGCTCGTCAAAGAGTGCGGAACAGGTAGACTTAAATCCAGACGCCGTTTCCTAAGCCACCCCCGGGATGAACCTCCCACCCACTACCCACTTAGAGAGGGCCCACCAAATGGTGTTTCTAGCGACTGGACAACCTGGACAAACCTGGAGAATGCTCAACCGAATCAGAACTGGGGTGGTCCCAGTAAAATCCAATTTGATCAAATGGGGTTTGCTGGACAGAAATGACGACAAATGCGACTGCGGCGCCTTTCAGGACATGGAACATCTTCTTCAATGTCCTGCGTGCCACCACAGATGTACCCTCGATGACCTATAGCTGGCTAAACGGGAAGAATTGGACGTAGCCCATTACTGGGTTAATAAACTATAATATAATCCTGATACGAAAAAGTAAAGTAAGTCTAAGACCAACTGTTAAAAAAATATTGACAAATAAGCTATTATTAGTGATAATATGAATAAGTTTGTAAAAATCTGAAAATTTTTAGACCAAAGATTATTTGCCCGGTTTTTTGTTAACATAAAATATGAAAAAAATCGAAAATATGATAACTGTTGATTCTACCTTGTAAATGAACTTTGAATCATCAAAAAATATTAAATTTTAGCCGAGTTATTGAACAATTTGTCTTAGCAGTCAATGATACGCTTATAAAATCTATCTCCGGATCGGAAAGACTTGGAGAGAAAATTCAGGGATATTTTAAGCAGAATATCGCAAAAACTACTAATTCCACGTAAAAAATAATAAGGAGTAATTTTGTAGGTAATTACCTAAGCTTCATTTTTTATTCCAAGAAAAATTTTGTAAATTGCATATTTTGGCAGATATTTGCAGATATTGCCATTTGGGGCGATTTTTTAGGCCATAACTGGCCGAGCACGGTTTGTTCCCCTAAAACTACTCGCCAAAATGTACACAATCCGCCTGAAAAATCACGGTAGACGAATTAGCAGTGATTTCAACCTTCATTTAGTTGACTATAATAAAAATATGAGTAGGTAGTATTATTAATATTTTGATTGAAATTAGCATGTAATTATGTATGAATATACTATATAAAAAGTAATATAAGTAATAACTTAAAGGTGCGTTCACACCTACTGCGCCGCGCCGCATAAAACATTTTTTTAACATGTACTTTTGAAGTGTATTTTTTAAGCGCGCACAAAAGTACATGTAAAAAATGTTTGGCACGGTTCGGTTTAAACGCACCTTAATAACATCAGAAACTCTAATAGGCTACTTACAATTTATATTTAAAGCAATTCTTTTACTAACTGCAGGTGGAACGTCGTTACTGGCAATACAAAGATATGCTCCCATTTGTCTCCTTTCTAATCTCCAAAAGTTCAGGTTTGTGCCATTATAGGTCTCGACTGGAAAAAATAAATTAATTAGAATAACAAGTTACCATAAATTTAAGACTCTATAGAATTAACTACGTATTAATTAAAAATAAGATAAAAATTGGCAAAAAAACAAGTTTTCTAAAATACACTCGCCGGCACGAAAAACGGGCACTGTAAAATTTTCATGTGTTTTAAAGTTTTATGCGTTGTATTCTAGTGGAATTAGTTGTAACTAAATTATTTGAATTTTTGTGTCTTTTTCTAAATTAAAAAAAAAAGTTGCCATTTGTCAATTATACGAGGGAAAGCAAAATATTGATATTTATGTGAAAGTGTTAAACACCCTGTGTAGTACGTTAACAAAGCAAGGAATTTGAAAATAATTTTATCATCTAGGTGTCTTTTTTCTGGATAGTTTTTTTTTGGTTCATCTAAATAGATATATTTTTTTAAAGATATTCGCTTTTGAAGAAGACACAAACATTTTTTCGTATTTTTTATACAGGGTCGCTTTTATGTATGGAAACGGTCGATTAATTATTAGATAAAATATAGGAGGTACCGCAAAATGTTAAATATAAAAGTTACATGATTTTTAAATACATACTACATACATACATAGGGATGCAAGGATTTTTAAATGTCTATTAGCGAGTAATACATTTAAGTATACAGGGTCGGTCATAAAGTCGTGCAACATCAAAGTTTCATTTTTTTTTAAATAAAACCCCCTGTATATTATTACTATTTTAGTATATTATTACATATTTCAATTCTTCCTTCAATTCTAAGCAAAAATCGAAATACACAAAATGTAACGCTTATTGCTGGGGTCCGACGGACCCCAATTTTTTTTCAGTCAAAAATACATGATAAAGAGATTTTATAAAAAACTTGTTATTTTAACACTGTTTACAATATATTCAAACTTGTGGACACAACTTTCATTAATTTTCAACAAATTAATAAGAACGAATACAAAAATAAAGTAAAACGCATTTTTTAGGATTTTTTGACAACAGAAATATAACTAGGCTAAGAAACGCATAGAAATTAAAAACATATATTTTATGATTTTACCGTATTATTAAAAGTACAAACTGAAATGTGAAGCTAAAGTAATATACATAAATTATTTTCAACAAAACTTCAAACCTTGAATATACATAACATTTTCAAATATAGTTCATGCTAATATAGGATCTGCATTTGCCGTACATGGATCGTGCACATTTGATTCATGAAATTATTGTTTTTTTTTGTCATTTCTTCGTTGACATATACCACATCTCTTTCTTTTCTGGTACTGATTATTCAATTTTCTCTCTGCTATAAGTAAGAGATTCAGAATCGGAGTTATGGTTTACTCGAAAAAAAATCAATATCTCGATGATCTTCATCTCACTTAAGCCTGTTTAAGCTCATCAAACCACTCAATTAATGCTTCCTCAAAATTAGAGTCCCAGTGAGGCACACTTTTTACACCATCCTAAAAATGAAACGGTCTTGGCGTGGTGATGCCACACAGACTCCAATGAAATTTTAGCCTCAGCTGGTAGGAACAATACTTGATAAAATCAACTGCACCTTTATCAGTTGCATATTGGCACCCTAACTTAAAAGTAAATTGCGCGGCAATGCCTAATTCTTAAACTTAAACATCTTACAGAGGTTTAAATAGTGTTTGGGGTCCGCTAGACCCCATCATGCCAGTTGAGGGTTAATACTGAATCATTGTCTACAACTTTCAAAGAAAAATTTGATACTTCAAACAAACTATTAATCGATACATATTGCAATTACTACTCATAACAATATTACGAAACATAGTGCATTTTTTTCTAAGCCCGATGCACCAACAGCACGGCTAAGCATTATCCACCAGCAAATTACGTAAATTACCTCTGGCGTATTCTCTGGGGCCCTTCCTCAATACAATTGATTGGCCGTCCTCCCGCTTCCACACGATGCGCGGCGCTGGATGACCTGTGGCCTTGCACCAGAGGGTAGCGTTCTCGCCCTCCGAGACTGAAAGGTCCCCGCTGGTGTCGTCGTTGATTATATCAGGTGGAACTGAAAAATGAAAAATATTGTTACTTTGGATTTTTACCTGCAGCATATTTTCGATAAATAGGTTTGATCGCACAGCGAAACATCTAATCGGGGGTCCGGTGATTTATCCCGACACACAATTTTGGCATATTTTTTTATCAAAGGTAACATTTTAGTAATAATTTTAAATGAGAAAAAATGTTGGTTATGCACCAAATTTCAAAATATTTTAATGTAATTTTAATACTATTTTTAACACATACATACTATTTTTACACATATTTAAAAGGTCAAATATTATCTTCCCAGATGGTTTTATGCAAAAATTGTATTAGACTTTTCTGAAGAGGCGTTAAAATTATACTCTCATGTAGAATTTAATTTTATTTGGAATAGACATTTAAAAGTTATTTGCAAAAATCTACCTTCAAATTACTTATATACAGGGAGAGTTTCCTACGATGTTCTCTATGGGTATCTCGGAAACTACCGGAGATAGAGAGTCAGTTAAATGGGGAAAGAATTGCAGTTTTATGGGGTCATAAATATGCGCCTTTCAGATTTTTGAAAAAGTTGATGGCTTACTAGATATTTCGAAAATAACAAATTTTGGCTATTTTAAAAATTGTCCCTAATTCCATTATAATCTATTTTAGACAAAAAGTTTTCAGATAGAAGTTGTAGATAATCACATCCCTAATGAGATTGTGTTCTCCGATTTTTTCTAAAGCCTCTCATTTTTGACATATGACACAAAACCGTAGAAACAGTAGTTGGCCATGAATTCATAAAAAGCGCCATTTTTAAGCTTTTCAGCGATATAAGCTATAATATGTTTCTTTCACAAAATTACTGAGTTATAGCCAATTCTTATCTTTCTTGACTAATTTCACTTAGTTAGCCATAGAAACAAGTTCAATCGTCGTTGCTTTCAGAAATATGAAATTGTCACATTCAATCTTTGTAAATTAAAATAAACAAAAATTGAAAATAAGAGTTTTTCAAATGAAGAAAAGCGTGTAGGATTATCGGTTCAACTTTTCTTGGCCATACAGTTTCGAGGATACGTTGACCGTTGACCGGTGAACGTTACTTACGTTTTTTAGAGAAAGATTTTCAAGACATGTTAGAAAAGTTAAATTTATTAATACTCGCGCATTAATAGAGTGGTTCCAACATGACTTTCATTATGACCAATCCCCCTCCCCTCACACACACACACACAATGAAAGAAATGTTAAAAATTATTTATATCATAATTATGTAGACTCAGGGATAGAAAGAGGTGGACCAATTGCATGGGTCTCCTCGGTCACTTGACCTATCCATTAGGTATAGATTTTTTTATGCGGTATGGTTAACAACAAGGTTTACAACAGAACTTATGAATTGAGAGAAGACCGGTCGTTCTGTGAGACTAGCTAGAAATTCAGTTTTAAAAAGATGCATATATGTACGTACTCAAAACAATTGCGGATTTTTTGAAAATTTTCTAAAATAACTTATAGTGATATTATTTTTTTAAGTTTTAGTTTGTGTAATGCAAATTATAAAGAGCCGTTTAATAATATATTTTGTCTTTTTATAAGTAATAAATCATAACAAAATTAGAACACCATTGAAAACCGTTCTCTAAAAAAACGTAAATAATTTTCACCGGTCAACGTATCCTCGAAACTGTATAGCCAAGAAAAGTTGAACCAACAATCCTACACGCTTTTCTTCATTTAAAAACTTTTATTTATAATTTTTGTTTATTTTAATTTACAAAGATTGAATGCGACAATTTCACATTTCTGAGAGCAACGCCGACTGAACTTGTTTCCATGGCCAACTAAGTGAAATTAGTCAAGAAAGATAAAAATTGGCTATAATTCAGTAATTTTGCGAAAGAAACATATTATAGCTTATATCGCTGAAAAGCTTAAAAAATGGCGCTTTTTATTAAGTCATGGCCAACTATGGTTTCCATAAAAAAAACATATGTTTGTGTCATAAGTCAAAAATTACAGGCTTTAGAAAAAATCGGAGAACTCAAACTCATTAGGAATGTGATTATAGTAGGGTATACTACTTTTATCTGATCACTTTTTGTCTAAAATAGATTATAATGGAATTAGGGACAATTTTTAAACTAGCCAAAAATTTGATTTTTTCGAAATATCTAGTAAGCCATGAAGTTTTTCAAAAATCTGAAAGACGCACAAAACTGACCACAAAACTGCAATTCTTTCCCCATTTAACCGACTCTCTATCTCCAGTAGTTTCCGAGATGCCCATAGAGAACATCGTAGGAAACTCACCCTGTATATAGTCCGTCTAGAAAGTATCCGGAAAAAAGAAAGGAAAATTACAATTATCGATATATATTTTAGGACTTAAGTTAAAAAAAATTATAACAAATTATTAATTTTATTTACTTATACAACCTTCATTTAACTCCAAACAGTTAACTAAACGTCCAGGTACACCCGAAACTAGGTCCACACCATAATGTTCAGTGGCGGTAGTCCAGTACTGTAAAACTGAGCTAATCAAATCTTGTTTATTTCGTGGAGCTGCTCGTTCCTCTTCAATCTTCATTAGTCCCCATATGTTTTCAATGGGACTAAGATCTGGTGAAGCTGCTGGCTATGAAATTGTTGCCAAATGGTGTTCTTGCATCCAAGCTTGAGTATAGGCAGACCTATGGCATCTTGCATTATCCTACTAAAAACGCCACCCCTCTGGAAATAAAACATGAGCCGTTTCAAGAAGAAAACCATTTAAAATATCTCAATATTTTGCACTATTAACAGTTCCATCAACTATACACAGAGGTGTAGCACCACGCTGAGATATTGCTCCTCAAACCATTATTTTAGTGGGAAATTTTGAAACTTGAACGGTAACATTTTTTTGATAGGATTTTTAGAGGGTTTCCACCAAGCTGGAAACAACTTTCGTCAGAAATAAAAACATTATTAAAATTATCTTCTTGAAAACGTTGACAAAAATCCATTCTTCGCTACCTTTGTAGAGGTGTTATTGCAGGGATTTTTTTTGCCTTCCTTGATATGTAGCCTTGTCTTTTCAGTGACATGCGGAAGGTTTCTGGACACACTTTTAATTTTCGCTGACTTCCAAATCTGTTGCGAATTTGCGAAACCCTAGGCGCGGATTCTGTCGTCCTAATACCACTAAAGCGTTTAAATTGTTTTCGTGAATCTTACGCGGTCGTCCTGAAACTGGTACATGCTTCATATCTGTGCCATTTTTTATCCTCTTTATTGTCTCATATACTGCACTTTTTCCGAGTTCAGTCAATTGCAATAATTTTTTAACGTTTCGAACGCCTTTTTTATACAAATATTCCACCATTTCTCTTTTTTTTACTTGCGACATTATATCTCAAATCTTAAGCCAGTTTACAATCAACAATATTTGGCAGATGGTGTTGCCATGGGATTTTGGTCATAACCTACTATCGGCACAACCTACGTGATGGATTACTGTTGTCTTAGAGTGTTACAGAAAAAAATACATTAAAATTAGGAAAAATATAAAATTCCGGATACTTTCTAGACGGACTATATATAATACGGCCCAGAGACAGCTACAATTAAAATACCAGCAAAAATATGACCTTGTCATTGTCAAATTCAATGTCACATTTTTTTTGTTTACAAAAATATCTGTGGTTTGAAACAGGTGGTAAAGTTTTTTCTGAAATGAAAAATTATCTACAAAAGAATTAGTTGAACTGAGAATAGTATTCGCGGTTAGGTTAGGTTAGATTAGGTTAACACGTCATACATGCTTGCTGTTCATTACTCGATCACTCACAGGCCTCGTGATACCAATACATCTACAATAATTTAACAAGTCAAAGAAATATTTGTATCTAAAGTAACTTTACTAAATTCTACTAATTAAATAAATGTTTACATAATTCCCCATTCACAGCCAAACAACAAACAATACCCCAAATGACTTGTGATATCACAATATAAAACTCTTTCGGGGAAAATATTTAGCATTCCACAGAGATATAGTTTTCAGTCCATTTAAATTTCTGTATTTAACATGCCCATAAAAACAGTTTTTGGGCGCGATCAAGAGGAAGAAGTCACAAAAGAAGAAAAGTGGACTGCCCTATGGTCTTTTCCTACTGTATCCCCAGTAAACGGGAGTCAATGTTTTTCTTTTCTTCAACATGAAGAATATTCAAGTCATTGTTATTTTCTTCCTATTCAATTATTTTTGTCTTCACACTTTCATGTGCTTAGTACCTTAGTGCCTTTACAAATATAATACGGTAAGTTCGAAATGTTCCAAGAAATATACATTAATTTTGTCACCTTTAATAATTGTTATTTTCATGTTCATACAAAAACATTGTGAACTACACACATAAGCAAATTCTCTTAAAAACTCTGATAATTACAAGATTACTCAATGCTTTCAAGTTCAGTTTTTCTAGTTGGAAATGTAAATAAATAGGTAAGTTAAACAGAGAACAAATTTATTTTTACTCCCCCTATTATTTTTACTCTATTAAACACATAAACTCTAATGTCATATTTATTTACTCTGCTATAATTTAATTAGAAAAAATATATATCTAAAAAAACATTAAACAAACAAAAAGGAGATTTTGACATTTGCAACATGATTTTTAAGATTTCTTTTTGATCTTTAAGAAACATCTAATTAGTTATCAGACAAATGGTACACTCTAAGTAGAAAACACTGCGCCACGTTTTTATTAATTAAATTATAAATTAATTAGCATTAACCTTCGTCTAACGCCCTTATTAACTTCAAAACAGTTTAAAAATAATTTGCGTTGTTAGTAATGATTTTTCTTTTCATTTTTAATTAAAAATAAAAGAGGGTTTGTATCGCATTTCTTTTTTACTTGAACATTTTTAATAAGCGTATTTTAAATCACTCGTAATACCTACTGAATGTAATGGAAACAAGTTAAAAGGATATATCATGATTACATAGAATGAAATTACTCAATCATCTTTAAAATA